TATATATATATATATATATGTATATATATATATATATATATATATATATATGTATATATATATATATATATATATATATATATATATTTTTTTTTTTTTTTTTTTTTTTTTTTTTTTTTTTTTTTTTTTTTCAGCAGCCATTGATTCCACTGCAGGACATAGGCCTCTCTCAAATCAGTATTGAGAGGTTATATGGCGGTGTCACCCTTGCCTGATTGAATGCCCTTCCTAATCAACCGCGGTGCGGCACGTTAACACTTGTGCCACGGCGGTGACTTCCCCTACGACACCTTCGTCTGACTTCTCAAGGCGATATATCGTTTTCTCGGGCTCGAGCTAGCAGTCAGAGCGTAGGCATTTTTACGACTGCCGCGACGGGGAATAGAACCCGGGACCACGAGGGTCGGAGTCCAGTGCTCTAACCACTGAGCTATCGCATATATATATATATATATATATATATATATATATATATATATATATATATATATATATATACATATATATATATATATATATATATATATATATATATATATATATATATACATATTCACATATGTATATTTACATTTGTATATATATATATATATATATATATATATATATATATATATATATATATATATATATGTATGTTTCCATTAAAAGAAGATATACATATTACTGATCCTGAGATATTTATACAGCTCTCCAAACTGGCTGTGCTTCTATTTGTGTAGAGGGCCATTGGTCAAACATTAGTGTTACATACATGCCTTAAGGGCTGTTCTATTATCACAATATTAAAATATCATCTGACTGGTAAAAAACCTTTTACATCAATAATCATGTCAAAGACAAGACCAGTGTCTATAATAAAGTTAATATAATCAACAAGCGCTATTCTGTGAATAGTCTTTATGCAGCAGAGTAAGTATTGAGTGAGATTATGCGACTTGGGTTCCTTGCACAGTTTGCAATGGTGATATGAAACAGGTTTTGCATTCAAAACTGCATCCTGTACATATTGTATAGTGTACTGATATCCTATGCGTAGCCTACTTAATGTAACCTGTTGTCTCCGAGACAGTCCGTAATAGACTTTATAGGGCTTGTCTAAATTTGATGTCCCAACAATACTCTCGTAGTGCCAGATAGTACCATGTCCGTCTTTTTTCATTTTTTCATTGGTCCATACCTGATCCTCATAATATCTAAGACAGTTGACAACTCGTTTTTTCATTTGATTGAGAGATAGCGGTATTACATAGTATGGATCTTCATGGGAAAGTGCTAACCTGGCTAATTGATCAGCCCTGTCACATAGTGATATTCCTATATGAGAAGGTATCCAGTATAATGACACTTGGGTACCCCGTTCTGATAATTTAGAAATTTGGTGATGGATATTCTTAGTTACCATGTTTTCTGGAGTAAATGCAGTAAGCCTGTTAAGAGCGCCTTGGCTGTCTGTAAAGACAGCCAGGTTTCGCTGCTGTTCACTACCTTTCTTAATGGCATGGTATATAGCTACTGACTCGGCATCAGTTGTGCTTGCCCAGTTGGAGATGCACTCACTTTCTTCAAGGTCTATATCAGGAATTAGCACACCAATCCCTGTTGTCCCATGAGGACCAGTGGAGGCATCACAGTAGATTGCAAGTGGGGGCGTACCATGAGGGGGATGTAGAATGCCATCTATATATTCCAAGTAGTGAGCTTTTAGTTCCGTTTTTGAAGCCATAGATTTAGACCCTATTAGTTTATCAATATGAGCACGTACATGAGTTCTGTGCCAAGGAGCAGTAAGTACTGTATCTGGAATATTAATAGCTTCGTTGTTCCATACACTGAAGAACATGATAATATGAGCAGTTTTAGTTTTCCATTCTAAGTTGGACTGTATGAGATTGGAGTATCGAGGCCGGATATGCCTGACTACAATTTATCTCATTTGATAGGATACTGGAGATTTGTGGTCTGGGTTGAAGCTGCAGGAGCCTAATACCAAGTATGGTGTTAACTTGGATGACACGACTGTGATTAGAAGGGAGGTCTAACTCTTTCCTCATGACGAGAACTTTAGCGGTCATTGGGCATCCAAGTATAATTCTCATGGCCTTATTCTGTAAAACTTCAAGGGGTTTGAGGGCACTCGGTGGCAGCATACTAAGAACTGGGCTTGCATAGTCTATTATGGACCTAACAAGGGAGATATACATCAACCTTAGGACTCTCAGGGAGGCACCTCCATATCTGTTACTAATGTATTGCAATGGTCTTAAACGCTCAAGGCAACGTTCCTTGATGTTTTGAACAATATTCTTAGCAAAGCGTGAGTTATGGGACATGAGGTGGGGAGCAGCCACCATAACACCAAGATATTTGTAGGTGTCAGTTCTTGCAATAGTTTGTCCACCTAACCTTGGAATGTAAGGTAATCTACGAGATTTGGAAATATGCTTAGTTTTGATTGGGTTGATTATGAGACCAAGGGAGGCACACTTTTTGCTGAACCCCTGTAGAACGTAATCCCCCCTATCAAACACCTGAATAAGAATGTCATCAGCATAGGATGTGATGCTGCATAGGTTTCCTAACTCATCATTGAGCTTGCAAAGAGAGTGCATAAGTATATTAAACAGTGTTGGGGACAACACTCCCCCTTGTGGAGTGCCTAATTCCTATTCGCCATAAGCACTATAGATACCTTGATACCACACTTTTGCTCTTCTCAAAGATAGATAATCCTTTATCCATAGCAGAAGCTTGCCCTTAACTCCTAAAAGAGTTAGTTCATGGAGGATTGCAGTAGGGGAGGCTCTGTCGAATGCTCCCTTAAAGTCTATGAAGTAAGAAGACTGTGCATTACGTCCATTTAGGTACTGTGCTAGACACATTTGTGTTCCTCTCCCTTTTTGAAAGCCAAAGACAGATGGATGGATCATGTCTTTGATCTGATGGAGTAAACGAGTGAGGAGAATTCTTTCACAGGTTTTTGACAGGCAGGACGTCAGAGAAATTGGTCTATATTCATCAGGCTGTCCTGGAAAAGTGAGGGTACAGACTTCAGTTAAGCAAGGGCAGGTTAGTAGAGTATGTGGGATGAGAAGTTTGGGCATAAAAGAGGAAAGGATCAGAGATGAGGCATGGGTGAATGGGAAAGTAGGGCGTCCATATACGAACAGGGAAAGGAGTAGGTAAACGTGGAGTGGAAGAGAAGGCATGAAGATGGGATTGGGGGATAATTTGCTTGGAGAGAGAAAACTGATGGAAACGAACATAGCTTCTTTGAGACAAAAGAGTGAGATGTCGAGAAAGGATGGTAGGCTTGATTCAGTGTACAGGCTCTCAAATGGAGGGGAATGAAAGGAACTTAGAGCTAAACAGAGACCGCAATGGTGGACTGTGTCAAGTTAAGTGAGAAGGGAGGCAGAGGCAGAGGAATATATATGGCAGTCATGATCAAGGGTAATATGGAGACAGAGGAATGTTTGTAAGGGTTTGTAAGGGTCAGAGACAACAACAGGCTTTTTCTTTAACAGAGAGGACTTAATCTCGAAATAGAAAAAAAATTACACCGAAGAGCTTGTCTGAAGGTCGGAATTGAATGGGAGCATCATATAAGAAGAGTGAAGGTTGGGAGCCTGAACGTAATCGAGAAAAAAAGGATAGAAAAGGTTTTAGAGGTAGCATATAAAAAGCCACAGTTGGTAGCCCAAGAATACATTAACATTATTGCTGACCAGAGAAGCTGATGGAGGGCTGGTAAGGAAGGACCAGATGCAAAGATGACTAGATCACCTACTTATAGTGATGACCAGATTCCTAGTTGTAGAAATGACAATAATCTGTTTATAGCAATGAGATATAATGTGTTGCTGGGCACACTGCTTTGTGGGACACCTTCAAATTGAGGGAAAGAATTGGAAGTGGAAGGTACAATCAGAAAGAAAGGAGTTGACAAAAACACCCATGTTCAAGGATATGGTGCTGGCATGTGGTATCATCCACCTCTTCTAGGTCGAAAAAGACAGCTAATACTGAATTACGGATTTCAAATGCTGATGTGATTTGGGTTTCGAAGGAAGCAATGGGATCAGCTGTGCTTCGTCCGCGACAAAATCCAAACTGATTTGGAGAGAAAAGGTTGTAGTATTAGAGGTACCACATTAGTTGGATGTTAACCATCCTTTCCAGTAATTTGCCCAGATGAGACTTGCCTTCCCTAATCTCATTGAACTGAACTAAACTGAAATATGCGTAGATCCCATAAATGGTGGAAAGGAATACACATACATAACAATATTTATTTATTTTTTTCCATAAAAATTAGTCACATAAAAATTTACATCTATGCCACTGCATGAGAATAACACATAAGCGAAGCAAATATAACCTCACAAAACAAAAAATAAACATCTACTCCTTAAATTTGTGAAAAAAATGAAAAAGATTGTGGCAAAACACCTACGAAACTCATATCTGTATTATCAATTTGTCTAATAACTTGATCTAAAACAAGTTGACTGCCCCTTAAGTCAATAATAAAAACATTCTGTGCAAATGCAGTTTGGAAACACTGCATTAAGATTTTTGTTTCTCTCACTCTTTTTAGTTCATGTTTAAGGTCAATAACTTAAGTGATTTCATAATAACTATTTTGAAGTTACTAGACTGTAATTTGTTGCTTTATGGAACATTACCAAATACCACACAACAGTTTTTTGATAAATTACAAAAACACGCAATTGTTTGTCCTCGATTTTGTAACATTGGAAAAGAAGAAAACTAAGACAACAGAGTTTATAAGTAGGCAAACCCCACTCACAAAGAGGAAAAAAAAAAAAAAGGGAAGTGTAAAGTAATCACATCATTCTAGTGACACATACATAAATAACACCACCAGAAGAATACAACAACTTTGAAACAGTTCGATTTCTTCCGGCGAAAAAAAGAGAGAAAGCAAAGAACACTTCCTTTGATGCAACGAAGATAAGAAAATAAGAAATACAGATCTACACCACCCTCCGGACCTCAAAGAACTGTTTGAGGTAGTACACCTGGCCAATGGTCATGGCCACCAGTACCAGGGCCTCGAAAACGGACCACAGGACGACGCGGGAGTTTGTGTTGTCGTTGATGGAGCGGTGAATGCGCTCGCGGACCTCCATGTAGTCTTGCTCGTGCTTGACACCAGAGAGGGCTGTGGAGAGCTCGCGGATCATGTCCTCCATATTCTTGTTGGAGCCATCACCTGTGGGGTTGGAGAAGACAATGGAATGAAAACACAACATTAAACAACTGTAAAAGAACTTGACTACTGCATCATTACGTCATAAATACAAATAAAAAGTAGCAGACATCCAAGAAACGCAGAGAAAGATTTCTTTAAAAATTGTCACTGTCCACATCTAAACTAATAATACCAGTAACAGTAACACTAGAATTTCCACACATCAAACACAGGAAACTGGGATAATGCTTGTGGACTCAAGGTCATGGTGGCAGCAGTGAACTTTAGCTCTCTACAGCTGCAGACAGTGTTTTTCCTCCTTTTTAAGGCTGGGTGATGGGGATAAAATCCGTTAATGAAGCATAGGTTTCCTTCGGGGAAAAAAGGGGGAAAAGAGACGAAAGAACAAGTGAAATAAATGGTAGGTCATTAGCCAAACATTAACACCATCATCAAAAGGGTATTTCAACCGCATATGGCAACAGCACAGTAATGCTTTCCAAAACTGTAGGATCGGCTGTGTGGACAGAGAGGATAAAATCAAATAAAAAAAGACAATATGGTTAGAATAAACAGGAAAAGTAGTACATTCAAAAGATCAGAGGAGGACTGAGGAAAATCAGGTTCAGTGTTGTCAATAAAGTCCTTTTACAGACCTAATGAAGGTTGATAGTTGACTGCTTGCCAATCTATAAGAGACAGAAAATCATGAGTGAAAAATAAAGAATAATGCAGAAGGGACTATAAGAAAAATTCACGAGTATAAAACACAAATGACCTACATTTCTTACTAAGTACAATCA